ACCTGCGGTGCGAATACCGGTAAGAGCAAAAACAGCTACATCATCACGCTTATTTTTGTGCGTTTTGTACTGTAACAGTTGCACAAAACGCATATTGCCGAGATCTCATGTGTGTGTTTGTGTGTGTCCTCCGAGTGCATTTTATCCTGGGATTTCAACTTGGGAACCAGAGAAACTAGGCAGCTGAAATTTTAGTAAGATGTTCCCCGTCCACGTGCGATCCCGCAAACTTAAGCTCAGCCTTCATATTTACCTCCGGGTCCACGTACACCCCCGCGGAAGTTTGGGCAGTGAAATTATTATCTCGGGAATCACGAAAGCTGGGAGGTTGAAGTTTTAGGAGAATGTCTCTTGCTCGTCTGCAACACCGTAAATTTAAATTCAGCTCTCAAGTCCGCCTGATTACCATGTATGGTTCCGCGAAACTTTTGGTAGGAAAAATTATTATCTCGAGAGCGATAAAAGCTAGGAGGCTGGGAACTTCAGGAAGAAGTTTTCTGCTTACGCAGAGGCCTAAGAAAATTAAACTTAGCTTCTAAGTATGACAAAGTTTCACATACGATCATGTGAAAGTTTTGCGCGAAATTTACTCGGAAATCAGAGAACTACGAGTTTGAAACTTTGGAACAGTGTTCACCGTACAAGATTTCAGATTCAGCTTTCACGTACGTTTGCGTTTCATGTACTGGTACATGAAATGTTTAATGAGAAGCCAAGACTGCTTTTTCACAAACCAAAGTGTAAAACAGTGGAAATTTTTAAAAGGCAAACACCCGTTGATCGAAATTGCGCAAAACGCATGATCGCACCGTTGCGCGTTGCTGCTTATTTTCTTTTAAGGCGCCAACTTTTTACAAAATTAGACAGTCGCATTGCTGACTGGAGTAACAGGCCTGAATATTCTGCTGGTGCTTGAATCTGTACACCGGCAATAAATTCTCGTATCGGGATCTGGCGGTCCTTTGCGGACTTTTACCTCGAACTGAGTGAGAAATGGGCTGAAGACAATAGGAGTGCCAAAACATGCTTCAGCACTTAAGTAACCATCTGCGGTCGAGACAAATCTCAGAATCGGTCTGTTTCAGTTCAGTGAGCACTGCAAGACTTTGAAACTATTTGTTTGGCATAATAAACCTTTTTTAGAGCTTTACTGACTGTGGCATGATCTTCCATCGCATCTCATCTACTCATTTTCTTGCCCTTTCCTTAGCATAGTGAGTGTGCCTAAGCATCGCAGCTGGTTTTCGCCCTCATCGGTTTTATCCATAACTTCGCCTAGTCTGGCTCCCAAATTAGACTGCCACATACGGCTTTCTAAGAACAAAAGATAACGCTGCTGCGGTCTCCTCGGGACTCAAGAGACTGGAGTTTAAGTGAGAGCATTGTTCAAGTTTGGTAAATCTCTTTTCGTTCACTACGCGAAGCAGACCAAATGCTGTGAGCGGCTGGTTTCATGTTCTTCAGTACGGTGTCACAATTCAGGAAGAAGACTTGGCGAAAGAAGCTGAGAATGCGGTCAGAGTCTATCTTCTAGCTCAGGACAATGAGCAAGCTGAAAGCGATGAGGAAGAGAATGCTGCTCACTTTATTCCGCTCGATGAGAAAGAGGATGCTGTCCATTTTGTTCCGCTCGATGAACAGGAAGATGCCGCTCATTTTGCCACGCTCGATGAGGGCGATTTTATCACCGTCAACAGTGATGACGCCGAATAAGCATTCCTCCTGTTCCTATTTGCTGGGTCATCTGTCCTATTTTATTGCGCTTTTTGTCTTTTGTGTGTGTGTTTTTATAATTACGATTATGTGTAAGAAACATACGCCAGTTGTTTTAATAAAATATGAGGTACGATAAACAAAAACACAGCGGTGAGTGGCACTCGCGAGATAACGAGTGGTTTGGAACAAATGGTGCATATTGGGCGTTGTAAGTAGAAAGTGAATATGAACAAAGGACTGGAAAGCCTGGATAGCTGCGCTCATTGTGTAGCTGCAACTCAGCGGCATCAGAGGCTTCACAACTGGGTGATCCCGAACACTTGATAAGCTTCTCAGTTTCGACAAATTTATAAAATTTATTTGTTGAAAATATGACACGCAAACTGATATTTTGAGGAATTCTGTTGCAAGCAAATGGACAAGCACTACAGAAGTGAGGATTCTGTGGCAGTGCAGTGAAGTAAACGATGCTTACAGCATCGTGCACTATTATGAGAAAGACTGCGGATTCATTCACACGAATGGCGTTGCACAGTATAATCGTAGCTAGAAAACTCGACTGCGATCATGCGCTTTTGCACAGGAAATGGAGCAGTCGGGTCATTTACAGTATGAATGGTTGTTGCTTCATAGCTTGAGATGTGTGCTCATGTTGACAGTGTTTTGGTCTTTTTTTGCATGAAGGGGAGAAAGGGTGTCGGCTGGGACGGCAGTTCTGCATCAAAGAGCCCGTAAAATTTTAACTTCAGCATACATGATCATTGCAAATTTCCTGTGGAGGGACACGAAACACTGGGCTGGAACGCGCCAGGCTTGCCGGTGCGATCAAATGTATTTATGCATTTTTACTGTGCAACGCTATAGCGCTGCTGCAATGAACGAAAACGCATATTGTCGAGAGATCATCCGCATGTGTATGTGTGCGGATGCGAGTGAACTTTGTCATTCACTTTCAACTCAGCAACGAGGGAAGCTGGGAGGCTGAAATTTTGAGAGGCATATTCCCACCCCTTGTGCCACCCTCCCGTTTTAAAACCATCGCTCGTACTCGCCTAGATCTCGCATACGGACCTCCGGAAAAATATACAAATTTCTTTAGCGGGAAACAATTTTGGGAACCAGACAACTTCGAAGGGTTATTCTCTGTACATGTATAAGCTAAAGATTTCAAATTCAGTTACCATGCACACTCATACCGCGCGTACAGTCACGTCGGAATTCGCGTTTGGCACTGCGCCAACTCGAAAACTAGCCTGAAGACAGTGGCTGAAATTTTGTCAGTATACTTATCGTTCATTAGGGATATCGCATACCTACACTGAGTTTCGATTTGCACTTAAGCCACTATTTAGGATGCTTTAAATACATTTGTAGTGAATTAGCCATTTCGCTTACTGGGCAAACTGCGAAGCTGAAACGTTGCAGGGGTATTCTATATTCATATGTGGTCTTAATTCAGCCTAAAGTTTAAATTCTCTGCACGTGGGCATAACAAATACTCAATTTTATGGCATACTTAAAAGCGACTGCATTATACGAATTTCGTAATCCTCTTTTGACTTACTTCAGATCTGAATTTTTTCGGCAGGCGGCTGTTCATTGGAAAAATGACCGGGCTTCATGCGAAAAACCTATGATCTTGCATGCTTAAGACCCACAGCTCATATTGCAAACTTTCGCTCCGGACCGATGCCCTACCCCTCTCCCCCTCGCCCTTCGCGCTTCCCCCTTCCTTCATTTCCCCGGATGCAAAAAAATGACCAAAACACAACTGATATGAGTTAAAGTGTTAAACTGCAGCACAGGAACCATTCTGAATGTTAACTATCCGCAACCTCAGCGCAAAAACGCATAGTCGTACCGGCAAACCTGATGCACTGCTGCCTGGGTTGCACTGAACTCGTAGCAATCACATCGTCAGCTATATGAATGGTTGTTGCTTGTATTTAGTTTGTGTACTCATTAACGCAAATTATCACAAATTTACATAAAGGAAAATGAAAAATTTCCATTGAACGGTGGTTCACTAAAAATTAATAAGCTGTTCAGTGAGCAGTTTTCTTGCCAAAACTTTTATGCGTTCGTACGTAAAAACCACGCATGCCTGGGGCTGAATTTGAAATTTTTAAGTTGTACTTGTGAGAGGATATACTCTTAAAATTTTAGCTTTCAGCTTTTCCGGTTACCGAGTTAGCAGTAGTAGAAGTTTTTATAATTTAGGGGGAATTGGTTAAATGTAGTGGATTGCGGTGTGGTGCAGTGCCTTGACTATCTGCGCATTATTGATTAAAAAAAGTATGTTTATGACTTATTGGTGATGAAGTATGCAAACAGCAAATAAATAGCATGAAATGCAGCCCTTGGGATATGAAGTGGCTTGCGGAGCAAGAGGTGCCAAGTGCGCAACGAGCGAATAGCAAGTGAATGCAGTTGGCCTTTGAGTGTAAGAGCAGAGCTCGAGTCGAGTGACGGTGATAGTGATATTGGTTTGAGTTGGTGATACTGGATACTGTCTTGAGTCCTATGAAAATGAAAAACCCAAAGCCTCCATGGGAAGGGTGGATGACTTAAAAGGGAGTAAGAACTGTCGCACAAGAGGATGTTATAGTTCTTTGGAGGGTTTGGAATGTACCAAAATAAGGAGAATGGTAATAGGGTAAAACGAAATACCAAGAGAGATAATGAGATGAGAGGTTTTTAAGGAGGGTTAAAAAGGGCTGACAGGTGAAAATACAAAAAGGAGAAAGATCTGCGCATGCAAGTGCATCTCGTTTCAGACGACTGAAACTTGGTAAATGCAGTCATGGGTGTTGACACAATTTTCTCGACAGAAGTTTTACGTGCTTGCACGTGGGGTTCAGAAGTGCGTAAAGGTTGGTATCGCGGTCCTGGGGTGGCACTTCCCCAGAGAACCTACTGGCAAAATTTCAGTTTCGAAGATTGCTTGTTTACTGAG